GGATCTCTTTGCATTTTAGGTTGACACTAGATTTATGGATATTTCTTGTGTACTTGTCTCTACAGATACACGTGGCCATTTTGTTTGAAACGCAACTTAAAAGGAGACATAATTAGGCACTGTTAACTTATAAATGAAAGTATGAGATATATATTTGGGACTGTACTTGGAGAGGTCGACTAGAATAATATTGCGAATTCTTAATACAACAAAATAAGCTTTATTAATAGAATAATGGATTAATAGGATAGAATAGCAACTATGCACGCTTGTTTCAACTGCCCATGAACTTTTATTCGAATTTTTATTCTTACGCTTTGACAACTTTCTTATTACTTATTTCTAAGACTAATTGCTACGACTCGCAAATGACAACTGACTTGACTAGACTGACTTAACTAGAATGACTTGGCAGCTGAATTGACTAGATTTACTTGACAACTGACTTGACAACTAACTTGACTAGACTGACTGACTTCTACGACTAACTACTGACTAAACTTTTATGACGGATTCTAAAAACTGACCTGCTCGCATCCTGTACCCTTATTAAACTCTGTCTTCTTTCATACTCAGTCTTTCTTCCTCGATCACATTTCCCATGGGACCTCAGTGGGCCTGGTGCTTCAAACCCTCAGGACGCATTTGTAAATTTTCATCTCTTTCTCGTACTAAACTCTGTCATAGATATCCCTTTCAATCGCTTCTTTTGCACGCGATCATTTTCGTCCTATGTCTCAAGCAGTCTTAACATTCTTTCAGAGCCGCACTCGTTAATGTAAAGGGTTTCTGTAATTCTGCTCATGAGATTCGAAGTACATCACAATGACACACCCTGCAAGCCTAGTGTCAATTTAACAAGAAGTTTTCATAGATTCAGAAATCTATATCTAGATGGAGATCTTCTTCTAAGGATACTCCTGTCAAGAATCTCCATGAAGTCAATTTCTTTTTTTAATTCTAAGGTGTAATTAGTACACAAAAATTGGAAATAAATGTATCATCGCCGTGTAGTTTTATGAATTTATTTCTGCAGTGTGATTCGTAAAATTGTTTTTGTATCTAAAGTTTGATCGGTGTAAATAACTAAACAGTTATTTATTACTGATTGTTTCTCCTGTAGAAGACACTATAGAGAATGATTGATTTCCTGTACTAAATTTTCATCGATTTAAATATATTAGAATCGAGACAAATATCCCTTTGCATCGTGTGTATTATTCCAACGACTCATTTTTCATTATTCTGTCATGTTATGAAATTTATTGTCTGTACTTCATAAATTATTCTGTATTTATAAAAGGAATAAACATGACGAAGTTTGACGAGGTTTAGTAATGCGTTACTATAAATTCCTCGCATAAATCCTATTTATAATTACATGAGCATTGAAAGAATTTATTATTATTTATTATTTATACACAATTTAAATAGTAAAATATCTCTACGATAAACTGAAGTAAGTAAACATCAATTCAGGTATACATTAGTATAATCACGAAAATTTGCAATATACGTAATGTAAATGAGCTTATGCAATATAATTATATTCCGTGTTTCAATCTTCTACGGTAAGAAATCTGGTATTAATTAAATTAAAAAGATATTCAATGATTTCCATCATGGAAATTTAATAGCTGGTGTAAATATATCTTTCGTTAATCGATGTGCAGTAATGTGTAAAATAATTTGTTTAATAAATGATTTGCAAGGGTATATATAAGTAGTCTACTCGTTGCAAGAGATTTCAATTATTTTACATATTCGTGGGTGAAAAATACATTTTTAATAAATTATTATATCTTAATATTATATTATATAATATTACTACAAGAAATACTGTCCACTCTATGTTTTCAAAATTGGAAAGGGGCTTCAAAAGTTTGTAACATATTGGAAAATATTTAAAATTGAAGCGTAGCTCTTTTCTAAAAAATTATTCCTTGAGGAATGATACCAATTGCCAGGTCTCATCACGTGGAAGTGAGAATATTACTCATAAAGACCCTGAACTTAGGGGTCTTGCAATTAAGGACTTTCTGTACCAAAGATACTCCTGTCTAACATGGAGCAAAAGCTACTTACCTTATATCAATGTCTCATAATAGGAAATATCGGATCGATATACTAAATTCGAATCCTCTACGACTCCTATAACTTCGCTATTGTATAAATTTATGCTTCGAAAAATTTGCTATTAACAATTTCGTTATTAATAACAAATTTGGTATTTCCTACATATTTCATAAACCACACCTGCATTCGCACTTCCATAAAGTAAATTCCCACGAAACTCAAGCTGATAGAACAATTTCGATTATGGATTAGAGGTTAGAGGAAAAGTTAAAATTTGTTGGACAGTGTTATTAACGAACACTATAATATTTGCACAGCAAATAACCACCCAACATCTATACAGTAGCTATACAGTACCCAAATCCGACGCATGCGAAACTCACCCCGTGCACCCCATATATCCCAAGAAAACTAGAATACCACCCTACGTAGTATCCCAAAAGGCCACTCCGAAGCGGTTCATCCACCAGCAGCCGGAGTCGTAGTTAGTTGCGACAGGGTCAACCGTATTTTCCCTGGACCACTACCTTCGCCCCTTTTTTCCACTCCTGTTCGGTTTCGGCCGCTTCTGGGTTACGTCGTAAGATGCAACAAGTGTTGGACGGATTATGTCTGGAGGCAAACAAACAAGATCACCGTGCCAGGATAATTCTTCGTCTGGTTAATTAATTAACTCCGTGGACCAGGATCGTGGCTGGTTGCCGCGATCCCACGGGGGTTGCCTTCTCCTATCGGATCGGGTGCGTTGAACGCGCCCGATTGTTCGTCGAATTAATTACCCCTTTATCGAGATCCTTTTTTCGATTTGTCGAACGCCGCGGATTTGCGCGCGTTTCGTACACCGCGCTTATAAATCATTCTTAAACACGTTCGCGCTTCATTTGTTCGGCCGTGTATCTGGACGCGAAGTGCGCTGTTGTTTTGATTTAATACGTCCTATCTGTCGTCGGGCTGGGATCAAATGACCCCGTGGCGTGGGTGTTATGGGTGCAAAGTCGGTAGTTAATTCGCGTGCTTGATTACGAGTTGTTAAAAGTAATTTAATTTGGGTTACTGTGACGTAGTCGGAGCGGTGGTGGGGGTGGGGTGGTTGGGAGGGTGCGTTTATTGGAAGGTGAAGCGAAGTGAATGATTAGGGAGGAACTGAGGAATTCGGGTTGTAATTGGTTGCTGGTGTGTTTGAGTTATGTTGGCGTGGAATTGGGACGCAATTCTGGAATTATTGTTATATGTATAATTTGGGAATTGTTAGGGATTGTATTGTTAATCATGATTTCTATTGAAGAGGAATACACTTTACGGTTCTTAATTTTTATTCATATACACTGTATATACACTGACTAGATTTTAATTACTATGATATTGACGCGATGATATATGTCTGCCTATTAGGAATGGATGTTTGAAAGAAAGTATTAGAAGTAATTGAAAACTCCATTCGCCCATCCCACATATAGGAACTTCAAGAAAATATACTGCTTCTTCAGCGAATATTAAAATTAATTAATAATTTTTTTAACACGACGAGGAGTGCATACGAGCTTTGAAAACACAGCAGAATTTTATAAAATGGTGGAATTAGTAGTTATATGATAGGCTGTGAAAATTGTAATACTGGGAAATTAGCAGAAAATGTGTCGAGTCTTTCTTCTATTCCACAATTTATTTATTTTAATTAATATTTATTTTCTCTTTAATTTGTCCATTTATTAATTAATGATTTATTAATTCCAACATTTTTATGAACTCTCGTCTCACCTAACAATTACATCTCATATTATTTCGCAATCAGATGTAATATAAAATAATTGAAAAATTCATGTCCTTCATATTTTTGTCTTACAATCAGCCCACTTAATAGTGAACGATACATATAGAGAAATTGAACCAGATTCTAATGTGTCTCTGGAAAATTTTAAATTTCTAATGAACGAATCGAGTATTCTAGGAAGCATCACTCTCCAAATTGCGACAGAGCTAACTAATAAAAATTCCATGTAAACCACCAAATTTTCTCAACTAAATATTCAGCATTCTACCCGCAGTACTGTATTCTGTAAATAGAATGCAATCCGCTGAGTTTAAATTTTAAATTTAAACATGCCAACTTTCCCTGTGTACACTTTTCTCTGTAACACCGTGACGATCGGATTGCATTGTGTATTACATTAACACGTGGTGAAGCTATATCTGCCGAGCTGAGCCAGGGTTTATTTCATTGTGTCACGTACGTGTAGCCTTTCGAACTTGATCGCAAAGTTGCACGCGACAGTACCTCGTACGCGAAACACTGTGTGAGTTGCACGGTAATGTAGCAAACGGAGGGAAGTTTCTTACAACTTGAATTGAACTGTTAGTTTGAATAGGTTCGAAGCGACCTACACTAAGGTTTAGGAACAAACCTAAAAGTTTGCTCGATGTCTCGGCTTGATCTATGAATTCCTGCAGCGACGACTTACAAAATGCCTGGACTAATGGAGGTTGCATTTAGGAGTGGGAAATTTAAGTGAACAGGATCGATTGGATCTGATTTTCTCAGGTCTGTATTCGAAATCTCAGACAGGGTTCTTTGCTTGAAAATTAAAATATTTTTATGTTCTATAATTGTTCAAATTTTTACGTTTTATTCGGTGATTGATTGGGTCGTAGATAATATTTATTTTTCTACTAAATACTCAACAAAAAGGGAGTTGTAGCGATTAACGTTTACATCCTCACCGCTGGATGGAAAAATGGAGGTTCGAAGTTTCGCGCAAACCTTCGGTGTATCCTCGACTTCCATAAATACAAGTTGCTATGTTACCTAAGTATCCCACGTCTAAGACACAGCCTATTAGAAGGCCTTACTAATGAGTCCACTAACAGGCCCCGGATGAAAAGCATCCCTTCCTTGCGTCCTTCTACCTGTTAGGTATCATAGCAAGATGGCCATTAAGGTATCAACCGGCAGCACCATAGGAATCACAAGACTTAGATCATAATAGCCCCCTACGAAGCTATCGTTATCATAATGACTCCCAAAGAGTATTAAAATTTTATTATAATTTTATTACACAGTATTATAATTTTATTTTATTATATATAGCGTGTATTTAATAAGTTTCGATCTAAAGACAAAGATGAAAATATAACCAAGAGATACAAGAAATTTGCGACATTATTGTCATTATATAACGAATTATTTAAAACATATTAAATTATATTAATACCTCATATAATCACGTTTGTTATGAAATTAAATAATAGAAAATCATTTTGTCTTAAACTCGTGATCTAAAATAAATAAAAGCAAAAATTGACGAATAAGAAATAGATGAAAAAATAGAGAATATTGACTAAAAATCGGTGCAGGTGAAACTATCGATCTCTCGCTTGAACTGTCTGGTGACATCCACAGCGACTTGCCACCCCCAGGTCCCCCTGATGGAAATATCCCCCTGTTTTACAGAACGGAACATGCCTTGCAATTTGAAGTTCGGCCGAACTGAAAAGTTTTGCTTACACACGGTGTTGGGCAATAATGAACAGGAACTTTAACTCGCGCTGAAAGTCGAGTTACGACCCGGGAACCTGCTACTGCTACTTATCCTCTTACTTACACGGCTTGGTTTATGCAACGCTTTAAGAAATTCTCTTCTGATGCATTAGGGGCAGATTAGAGGCTACGGGGCCATTTAAGAAATTTCGCCCGCGTTAAGTTTACCCGGAGTTCCGGTCTAATGCCTCGTAAGCAGATTACTACCCCGTGCTGTATTTAGTAATTAAATAACATTGATGTTGGCTGCCGTTGGTTACGAGTTGTAAAGTTCGCTCGACTGACCTCTCCTCGACGGCACCGTGACGAAGCCGAGGGCAGACCTGTTTTACTCGGAATTACTGGCTATTAGGCATACCGTAAACCTTGAGGTGGAGTCCTGTTCGGTGTGTTAAACCGGGGAACTGGGCTACTCGTGCTCCATCTTACAATTAGTTTGACTGACCAGGCGTAGCGTATCGAACCTTGCTTAGCTGGCATTCCTTTTCACAAGATGGCGTTCGTGATGCTGTTCAAAATTAAATGACAATACTATGGTAACTACATGTATATTATTTAAGTTAGATTATACTTAGATGCGATTTATAAGTGGTGTCTGTCCGTCGCCTTGGCGGGTCTGTCGCACGTGGGTTCAATCTGTCGGGTTTGGTATTTGTAAATTTTCTGATTTTCTTACATTTAGATATATGACTTAATCCACTGAGAGGGCGGCAAAGTACGTCTAATACTCGGTGTAGCAATCATAATTCAAAATAATGAAGTGTTTAGAATTATCGAAAATTAAAGTACGATATAATTTTAGTAAAAGTATAATTTTAACATATTAATCTCGTCTTTTATTTTCTTGCAATATCGATATTTCTAGAAATATTTACCTTTGTATTGTAACTAGAAATGGTTGTAGCATACATAAGGAGGTAATAAATAGGTTTGAACTAGCAATATCATCAGGAGAGACTAACTCCGTTGTGCCCTCACGGAACCATAACTTTGGAGTTGTACCTCAAGGGTTTATTCAAACAAGGGTTCGTTATATTACAAAATAATTGATCGTAATCTTAATCGAATAAACCCTATGAGGGGTGCGATCGACCAAGCGTAAAATCACGGTCGCTTTGGTCTTCTCCATGAATCGATATACAACGCGATATGAATTTTGAAGCATGTTTAACCTCCGATCCAATGAACGTAAACCATCCGTGCACATATAAAATACAAGAAATCATCGTACAGAATGTTAAAATGTTGTAGTAATATAATTTTCATTCAGGATGTGTGGTACAGATTGTTATGAAAACGAAAATTTATTAATTCGAATCGGGAATTATGGCGTATATTTGTTATAAAATTTAAACTTTAATTAAAAAACCAGTAAATTAAGATACAATTAAATTTGAAAAGAAAATCCTAAAAAATTAGATTTTCAAGAATTTGACACCATTTCTGTTATACGATTTTTATCGTAACAAAGACATTTAAATAATTTCCAAGCTTGGAAATATCACTGTTTACAAATTTACATTTAATACGTTTTAGTACATTTATAACATTCATCGAAGGTATTACCAACTGCTTTACGTAAATAAGACAAAATATAAACCTATATTTCGAGGTGGGACTAAAACTGTCCCATCATGCATTACGGTGCATTAAAAAGGTGGGACACTTTTAATCCCAGCGTGCCTATTAAAGAGTTAATACCAGAATAAGAAAATAAAATTCATCCATTTATTCAAGAATGTCCTTCTCTTCTCACCCAGTAGTAAATATTTAAATTTAAATCACGCAGGAAAGAACCATAAACCTGTTAGTGGTGGATGAAATTTTAATAACAATAAGAACAATTCTTTATTTAATTACAAAGATTATCAAACACAAATATTAAGTTTAAATATAATTAATTTATCACAATCACATGCTCACAGCTCTCCTCGCTATTAAAACTCAATTGCAACTGACCTATGCCAAATCACTCTCGTTTTTTCTTCTTTCTTCGTTCATACATTACATGCATACTTATCCCATTCGTCTCTTTCTTACATACATCGCTCCTTTATTACATCAACGCATATATATTCAAAAATCTATGCTAACCATTACCACAAAACCTTCAGTTCCTGGAAACTCGGGACCCCGTGTTTGGAGTGGGTTCGCGGAAGCCGCATCCCAATTCCAAACATATCATCCACGTTTCGACAACAATTGTTCCCCCAACTGGCGGCATAACCTCGGGACTGTCAACACGAATCGTTCGGGAACGACAGCTTGGAGTCGGTTTGTCACTTGGGTCGTCGCGACGCGTCGTCGAATAGCGTTCTAACGAGCGTGGAACGAGAACGTTGTTCACCCACGTGTGTGAGAACGTGTGTGCACGCGTGTGTGCGAAAGACTGTCGCATTCAACGAGTGGCGTTTCTTTTGTTTTCCAGGCAGACCTGTCCTGCAAGAACACGAAGCAGACCGTGGGCGCGATTTATACGCGCACGAACTTCGTGACACTGAAATACGTCACCGACTCGTGGGGCACGGCTTCGAACGGCTTCCGTCTCGTTATCACCGCCGTCAAGGATCCGAGTGAGTACATTTCTCCACGTGATAATTCCTCCTTTCTTTTGTGTCTGCTCGCCAAGCGTCTACCTGCTCCCTCGTATCTGATACGTTCTGGTGCAAGTTTTCTTGGCTCTGCGGCGTTCGCCTCGTTCCTGCGCGCTATCGTCCAACACACCTCGGCGTTATTCCGGGTAAATTATAAATTAAATGACCTGGAATACGAAGTTCAAAAGTGTCAGATTCCAGGTTAATTTGCAAGATTTCCGAGGATCTTCGAGGTGTCTTGGATCGACGTAGAATTGATTTAGGGTAGTCCACTGACGAAAAGCTTTTGGTCAAATTCCATTGTTTTCTCGTCAATAATAAACAGAAATCTGAATTATTCGCTTTTTCTTTTATTTTATTTTTACATCGCGATCGATTTACCAAAAATATTCGTTTGACCAAAAATTCTTTTACCGGGGATGGTATTTATATCAATTAGTTTGAAAGTGGTGTAAATGGACAATGTAGGAGAAATGATTTGCGTGGTTTTAAAGAGAAATACTGTATGTCAGAATTTTAAGAACATTTTGTTTATTCATCAGTTGAGTTGCGAAACTAATTTTATATATTCCAGAAAATTATAAAAAGAATCGGTGGTCAGTGGCATCTCGAGAATAAGAATACGTGTTGTGTGACATATTTTTCCTTCTGAGCATCGATCTATCGTTTATTTTATAATTATTTTATAATTTCAATTGAATTATTAAAATGAGTTCGCAGTTTTTTTGCAATTAATTTTTTAATTAAGAATGTATTTAAAATGCAAAACTTATAATTCGAAATGAAACATGTAGGGACGTATCCCTACCAACCTTCGATTATTTAATCCTCCTCTACGGTAATCTCTTCAAACATGTGCGACGACATAGGCCATTTTCATAATTATCGACACATTTGTTCTTCAACTTTATCATAGTTTTGCATTAACCCGTAATAATTATACTAGATAATAGAATTCCTTATTATTCTCTGTTCTCTATGCAGAAGTCTTAAATTTTTAGAATTAATTTCTCGAACATCGTGCCATTTCTTTTCTTTTTTTCCTATTCTTCTTAATATTGCACGAAATATGTGCATTTGCCCATGAAATTATGTAGTACGTATCATATCTTAATGTTAAACTTTCGTGGGTGAATTATTTTTATTTCTACCACAAGTAATTTTGTATTCTGTGAGACGTTTTCTTTCTCCAAGTCTTCTTGGAATTTCTTCCATATGTATAGTTTTGATTAACTAACCTACGTCATACAACGACGAGGAATTATAGACGCGTTGCTTTAAAAAATCGTACACTAGTGATTTGTGTCGATTTGAATTTCCAGCGTGTTATTAATGTTTCGAGTAATCGCTGTTTTAATTAATTCCTGTATTTCGCGGTAGCGTATAATTCGAAATTTATTCGTCGTACATCTGGTCCTAATTAGGAGTTTATTATAGCTCTGTTGGACGTTACCGTGTGACCGTAATGACAGCGAAGAAAATGGAAAGAAGTTGGGGACTTCTCACGACGAGTTTGTCTATTTAAAGTTCCCGCGTTCGTTATTAAAGTCTGTTAATCCGTAATTACACGGCCACCGTCCGAATTTCTGTCATTTACCGCGAACAAAGGAAATTATGTAGGGGAGAAATAATAGTGTCTTGCGAATTTAAGCTGAGCCAGGAGAAGATGTCTGATTAAAGAATGAAATGAACCGCGAAGCTTTCGTTTCAAATGACTTTCTGAAAGGAAATTAAATGGCCGCGTCCTATCTTTCTTCAATTCGTGAAAGCTTCTTTTTCCCTTTCCTTTCTTTTTCCTTCGAGTATGTTCTACTTCAGTTGGTTCGACTTAATGAAGTGCTTAATGCACCGTGATTAAGCAAGAGAACGGCACGGACGAAGAAATGGAGAAACACGTTATAAAATACTTTCCACTCGTGCGATAATAACGGAATATCGCCGTCTTCGTCTCTCGTGTCATTTAACGAATCATTAAAAAGTAATTCTGCAAAATCGTAATCACGATAATTGCTGACGTTCGCAGAACCTCCATGGTTTCTATACTTTCATATCCGACTGAACGAAAAACCTAGATAACATAAAATGCCTGAAAATATCTCGTAACGAGTTTTCTAGTTCTCCTCTTTAATATTTTATTTCCATTATAGGAATCGATAGATAATTTAAGTCGATGTGGAATGGAAATGCGTTAATAGTTAAAATTTTAGTTTTACGTTATAAATTTTTATTTTTATTTGGAAAATAAGTGGAAAAGTATCAAGTGCCATTTCAGAATCATTCAACGACGAAACAAATTTTAATCCATGACCTAGTTATTACAAATTTGTTGTACAGAAATGTAACAGGTATATGTACCATGACAGAAATTATTATTTTAATAACAGGTTAATTAAAATCGTGTCAAGTGTTGAAATATTTATTAAATGTACTGAGAATTTTCCAACTTCTCAATGACGAAACGAATTTCTATGCAGGCCCCAATATCTTTTGCATATTTATTATTATACATCAGAGAAGTACTAAAAATTAATAAAACTAGTAACATACTGAACGATATAAATTCGGATTTAAATGTATAATACTTCAACTTTAATTGGTCATTTCTGTAAAGTAAAGAGAGAACAAAAATATATCATTGGGATACGTTATCACCATCGTTATCTAACAAATATAAAACGATTTGTTGTATTTCAATCCAGTTGAAATGTTTACATATCCAAAGTGTTCGGATAATGGGGAATTTAAATAACATAGATGCGGATAATCGAGGTTCTACTATACCCAACATCAGGAGCGTTTACGAATCTTCGTATGCAGAGAAACAATCGTTTTCCAACCCAAGAGACATAGCTCGAAGTGAACAAAAACGTATCGAGTAGGATCGTTAATTAATCCTATTCATAATTCATCGATCGGGAAAGGCATTAAGCAGCGATATACGCGAAATACAGGTCGTATCGATGCAGAAGAGGCGACCAAACGATAAGCCAGGCCGAAAGAGCCAATTACAGAAGCAAAGACAAACTCCAGCGAATAAATAAAGCGGTAATTATAATTAAACGGGACGGGAATAAATGAAACAGTAAATTAACGACGCTTCCTATTAACGGCCCTCAAATTACCGGCCGCTCGTTATTTCGCACCGTGGTCTCGATGCTTGCCTCTCTGTCTCCGTCCCTCTCGTTCACACGGCAATTTTAAATTAACAGCTACGCCATGGCGAAAGATAATACCGTCATCCGGCCATGTAAAACTCTCGTGCACCTCCTGACTGGCTGCTGGAAACGCTTAAGATCGGCCGAAAATCCCGCGAAAATTCTCCGATGCTCTGAAACACCGCAATATAAATTAAAGCTCGGTTTGCGCTTGGTGAATTTTTGCGTCGTCTACGGGTTTTATAGGTGACACTAGCGCTGATAAGGGAACGGAAAAGTACTTACTTGTTACGTATGTAGTATCTAGGCTTAAGGACTTTAAGCGAAAAAAGGCCGTTAAAGAGAAAGGAAGCCCATCGAGGAAATCGTTCGTCGACGTATAAGAACTCAGGTCTCAGAACTCAGGTTTCAGAACTCAGAACTCAGGATTCAGGTCTCGAAACTCAGAACTCAGTTTCCAGGGCTCAAAATTCAGGTTTCAGAACTCAGAATTCAGGTCTCAGAAGTCAGGACTCATAATGGGTCTACAATCTTTTCGGTAACCGAAGAGGAAAAGAGAATTTCAAGAGAAAAATTAGAAAAAGCTAGAATCAGATCTCAGATCTCAGAAATCAGGACTCAGGTCTCAGAATTCAGGACTTAGAACTCAGGATCCAGATGTCAGGACTCAGGTACCAGGACTCAGGTATGAGAATTCAGGTGCCAGGACTCAGAACTCAGAAATAATAACTAATAATTAATAACTTTTAACTAATATAAGGATTCTTCCTCACAGTTGATTGTATCTTCAGTGGTATAACCTCTTCAGTCGAGTATCTACTGGATGTGATGGAAGGAAAAGAAAAGGATGCATTTCATCCTAAGTCTTACTAGTGGACTCATCAGTAAGGTTACCTAGCAGACCCTTGCCTTGGACAGGGATACTATTAGCAGATCAGAAATTTGTATATATATGAATCGGAGGGATCACCGAGGTACTTGCAAGAAACCTCGGTCCTCCTTGATTCCCTCTGGTAATAGATGTGTGCACGGTGCTTGTCACACTACCAACTAATAAATAGTAAGAATCCTCTCCAGAAAAAAGTGTCGAATCAAGTTTGGTACCAAACTATAAAAGGAAATCGTTTGAAGAGTTATGTGTCCTTGCTTTTTCTTATCATATGCATATATAAATACACACATCACAGTTCAATCAACTACTTTCTTCATCCAATCTTATTTTAACATTAAATACAGTTACTGCTCGTATTTAGGTAAAAATGACTCCACTGTTTAGACTTCCTCGTTTAATTGGCTACCGTGTATGTATGGGTACTTGGTCTGTTAATCTTCGCGTTCTTGCTCATTTTCGTGGAACGTTGAAGAAACGTAATATATAAAGCCCGAGTCACACTTGTCACGCGAATTAAGAACCGAGTGTCGAGATGGCAGGATGTCGCGTGTGGGATTAGGTTTGATTTCGAATTTAATTCTAGCTCGCGAGAGTGTGGATTAGCGACTGAGGGGCGTGTAGAATATTTCTGCGACTTGTTTCGAAGCTAGTGCTGGAACAAGAGGAACGAAATGGCATTATTCGGATCTTTTGTTTAATTAGATACCGTATACGTGTACGCTTGTACTTTTCCTTTTAATCTTCGTGTCTTTTCTCGTTTCCACGGATCGTTGAAAGAACGTGATATATAAAGCTCTAGTCACACCTGTCACGCGGATTAAGAACCGAGTTTCGGGGTGACAGGGTGACGCGTGTGGGATTAGGTTTGATTTGGAATTTAAGTCTAGATCGCAAGAGTGTGGATCAGCGAATAAGTTATTAGAATATTTAGC